TGCTATTAGTGAGTGTTCGTTTGGATATCAATTTGGGTAGAGTTTTTTCGTAAACTTACGCACATTCATATATCGGAACCTTTGACGAAACGAAACGAAACGAAACCTATCATCATATCCTGGATGAGCTTGGGGATCCGTGTAAGTCGTTTTCGAAGTCATGAGGCGAACCAAAGTTCTGAATCTAAAATGCAGTCCTCATCTTATCACCTGTAATGCAAATTATCAGAAATGAGATGAAAACGACTTGAATAGTTATATCTTACGATTCTGACCAGCATGAGCTGGCAACAAGATGGTAGTTTGAGACCAAGCCTCGAAGCAGACTTGAATTGACATGTAGAAACTTTTGAACCCGCGGCGGAGATCTCGAGATCTACTTTTTGTTGATCGTCGCCACGCGAGGAAAGTGATTAGCTTCAAAACTCCTCTTGAACTTGAACTATGATACTGACCACGAAGACAATGTAAGCGTACAACTGTGGTGAACACTGATCAATGTGGTCAGGAACTGTAAATGTGGCAACCGACAATGCGGACATCTCGAGTCGCGACTCACAAGTGGCCTGCTGTTGGTCTCGTGATGGTTTCAGAATCATTCAAAAAGCGTGCAATCCGAACAATAGTGAGGCCATGTCATTCTTTTCCTTTAGTTGTACTGATCAACGCCAAGTTTTCTGAAAAGCAGTCTTTTGTATGCCTATCAATCTCGTACAAACATCTACACAATTTCAAAAAATTCGAAGGAGAACAACAGAACACGGTCATTTGAAAGCATACTAATATCTATGTTATTCAAGCAAACTTTACCGGGATAACAAGCCTAAGCCTATTCACAATCATATATATTCCATCCATTTCCATTTGTATGGAAGTGTTGAACGCTCAAGGTACCTTAAACCTTCTCTTCTTCACTGGCATGATCTTCAGCTTCATCCTGGTGCCACATCTTACGCTTCAACCAAACTGCGACCCACGTCAAGGCCAACAAAACCGGTACTTCGACCAATGGGCCGATGGTAGCGGCGAGGGCTTGGTCTGAACCAACTCCGTAAACGGCGATCGCAACCGCAATAGCGAGTTCCTGATAGGAAAAGCCATGTGAGTACCTCGTTCATCGATTTCTCAAATTTCTACTCACGAAGTTGTTACTTCCAGCAGTGAATGCTTGAACAGCAGCCATTTCATAACTCCAAACCTTCTTCTCTTTCTCAATGAGTTCCCTTTCGAGTCCTTTCTTCTCCGCTTTCTTGATTTGATGTTTTCCAATCCACCAAACTCCACCGAAAGTCATACTCCACATTATACAGAAGTATAACACGAGTGGGACCATAACTCGGAAGACTTTACCGATATTATGGAGGATATGGTGACCTTGGTAGGCAAACATCACGATGATGGTGTAGAGGAGACCAATGAAAGTTATCGGAGAAATTAACGGAATATAGACTTCATTCAAGAAACGCGTAGTTCGTGGAGTTGAAAGTAGGAGGAGACGAGTGATGAGGCCAAGTCCAAGTGGTATACCCAGGTACTGTCATTTTCCAACATCATAATTCATCAGTGACCTGTCTTCCTTTCGACATAGCACAAAAGAGACTTACAATCAAAACCGAAATAGCGACATTCCCATACTCCAATCTCAGCTTCTCATCACCTTGAGCATGTCCAATTATGTTGATGAAGAAAACCGCCATTGGACTATAAATCACAATTTGCAACAAACTATTCATGACGACGAGAATAGCACAATATTCTCTGTCGCCTCCTGCTAGTTCGTTCCAAATTAATACCATCGCAATGCACCTTGCTAAACCGACTAGGATTAACCCAGCTCGGTAGGTTGGAAGATCCGGAAGTGTTGCCCATGCCAATGCAAGCATGACGAACGGGGCAATCAACCAGTTAAGGAAGAACGAAAGTGTAGAATGGATGAGAAGCTTTCGCGTGTTCGTCTTCGCAGGTGAGGTGGTGTCAGAAGAACGACGACGGAAGAGACTGTTGAAGATTAAACCAAGTAGAACTTCGTAGCGGACTTTGGTGAGGACCGGGTACATCATGACGATGAGACCTATAGCAATAGCTGCAGAGAAGAACAAATCCGAGTTGGGTCAACACATATATTGAAGGACGACTGGAAAGGCTATACGAAGAGAATACTTACGAACTGATACACTGTTGAATTGAACAGTGTTGAAGGCTGGTTGAACGGAGGGGACGAATTCACCGATGATCACTCCGACAATCATGGCGAGTAGAATTGCTGGAGTAAGTAAACGGTCAAGTATTCCGAGTCTTCCAAGAAGGGCTAGTTATTATATGTATAAAGTCAACATTATGGTCGAGTAAGTGGGCGATTCATCCGTACCTCGAGCAGATATGCCCTCTCCGCTGCCATCAACGGCTTCAGGTTGGACAACACGACCGCCTCGACATGGAAGGCAGTCAGAAGTATTGGAGGGAGGGATTACAGTAGGAGGCTGCATCTCGGTTGAAGATATTTCGTGTTTGTCAGTACTCATAGTGGGGGGATGAAGGAGGGAGGGGATGAAGAAGAGAGCATGAGTAAAATTGAGGTTTTGAACGTGACGAATTTGAATGACTTTGAATACAAAAATCATATTCGATCAATAAAAGTCAAAATCATTGGTCGGTTGATCTAATCTTTGTAAGAGTCACGCCACGCACGTTTGTGTGGTTTGGCCACCATGACTTGGACCCGTCGAGATTTTTGGTATGTAGAGTACTCTTTCACTGCCATAAATTCCAGTAATCGTTTGGTAAAAAAACACAATCACAAGAAATTGCACACAAAATTAAGATCGGTGAAAACAAAAGAAAACTCGATCAAATCATAACTGGGTGAGGGACACTTTCCAAAGGAAATACTGCAAACTCGTGAACATACACCGAAAGATCAGGCCAAAAGAAGATTTCGTCTATATGCATCTCATCATCTTCGCGATATTCACCTAAGAAGATATGAAGATACATGATCTTAACTCCTTTCTCACTTCGTTCCTTGACACAAGTTTGTATAGTGTCTTCCAAATTGACCTCGTGACGATCCACATATAGTGACAAGTGAGTGAGTTTAGGACAGATTATTCCGGAATGCGGTAGTGACGAGGACATTTCTTCATAGTAAAGGGAGTTCAGAAAGAGACAAACTGGCGCTACGATTTGCTCGAGATAGTCCAGCTCAGACAAATGAGGGGCAGCGCGTGGATAGTCAAACGAGATTTTCTTCAAGAGAGGAAGGTCATATAAAATCCTGACCCAGTCCATCATCGTCATATGTTCAAGATTGAGAAGATCCTCCAAAAACCGTGCTATATCTCCTTTCCCAATATGCAATTCCTGTACGTTCCAATGTGAAAAGACGGATCCTATCGTCTTCAATGTCGCCGCATGTATTCCAGGTAAGTTCTCATCTACTTCAAAGTATGAATATTGCTGGGTCATACTGAATTTATTCCGTTTCGATCGAATTCCAGGGAAAATTTTTCGGGGTGGTATCAGGTCCATTTCCGAGGCTTCGATATCGAATAGGTAGCAGGATATATGAATTGGAGCAGAGAAGGTGAGAGCTTTTGGATTGTCTTCTGAGGGTGACGCCGGTATCATACCAGACAAGTCTTTGGGTAAGATCTTGTAAAGACCAGCGTCTGCATCGACCTCAGCCTGGCTTAGAATGTTATTGAAACTGATGGATAGAATAATCGAAACATTTGTTGGCAAAATCAGATGTGAAAGAAGGAATTGGATATCTTGAGGAGGATTGTGGATGGAGATATACTGGAGGCGAGTAAGCTTTACGGGGGAAAACTTTGTAGGCATGGATTCGACACCTGTGGGTGAATGATACCTTGGACCAGATCCGGACAACTTCAGTTTCCTGAGTGAAACACAAGAACGGAGAATATCGAGGAATGTAGACATTGATGGAACTCCGTTTGTATGAGTATGTAACGCAAGACCGTCGCTCAGATTCAAGACCTCCAAATGGGAACAGAGTTGAGGGGTGAAGTGGGAAAAAGCAATGACCACTGCCTCCAATTTCAATTTGCGCAAAGTACCAGAGGCGTTTATTGGTTGGTCGATGAAGGGAGGGATGAAATGCTCCTCCAAACGAAAGGCTCGCGCCTCTAAACGAAGAGACGTAACGATAGATAGCGGTAGAGGAATGAAGTCGGTCGATACTGTTTGTATATTTCTCGGGTCGTCGCATTGTGGTATGGGGATATCGATCCACAACCTATTGATTCGATAGGCATTCTGTTGAACGAGATTCCAAAATCTTGCCGATAAGAAATCGGAATCTACGTTTTCAACCGAAATGTTGAGAGGTGCTGTGTGAGAGCGTGCGATGAACAATTCACCGCGACTCACACCGTTGATACCGTGAATATCAACATCTTGCCAGAGAATACCGTTTCCTAGCGCAACGCTTCTCCACCATTTACCAACACGCATTACCGTCGTCCAATCCCACATCTCCTTCCATTTCGAGTCTCGGTCTAGAGGATTTAGATGTTGATGTCGAATTCGATATAAAAGTTCTTGGTATCCATCTCGAAGAATGCGGAAAACCGAAGCCAAAAGCTCGTCAGGAATGTATCGTTGAGTGAGGATAAATGACAACTTGGCTCGAAGAGATCGAATAGACTGGATGTGCTGCTTAACAACATCTTCTTGCTTGTCTAAAAGCTCGAAAGCGTCAGATTTGGACATCGTTATCACCTGCCTCTCGAGCTTTTTAATGGTTAGTATCGGCAGGGTGTCGTGGGTCGACATCGTGATCAGTGATTGCGAATGTTTGGAGACTGAGAGAAAGATATACAAGGGGCAATTCAATATTTTCCACAGAGTTTGCGACGATAGAGCTGGTATGCGTACCTACAAAAGGAATTGAGGTAGAAGTAAGAGTGAGTTTACTGCGTACCGCTCGTAATCGAGATCCGTGCAGGATAAAAATGTGTTAGGGGAAGAGGTATGAGTGGACACTCAGGGGATTGAACCCTGGACCTCATGCAGGCACATCGTTTCGAGTGCAAAGCAGGCGCGCTACCACTGTGCCAAGTGCCCTTGACAAGCGGGAGACCGTGTATACTAACGGAACGCATACTATAGTATCAAACAATTACTGACATGGCTAGAGCCTGAAATCATTGTAACATTTTACCGCGACAGTCTTCAACATGTGCAGTACTACTCCGATTTCTATGAGAAACCTGAGCCGAGAGGCCAGAAAACAGGGGTGTTTCTAAAGGACAGATACTCAGCAAATCGTATTGGAGAGAAGCAGATAGCTACCCACTTCTTATAATACTCATACTTCGGATCTCCACTGAATTTCTTATCATTCTGAGCCTGCGCCGGACACAAATCGAGTAAATACAGAGTTTTAGTTATGCATCATGAATATGATGACTTACCTCCAGAGGAGGCACGCCCGACACATATCGCGTTAAAGCCCACGTCAAAAGCGGAGACAGACCGGCAACAAGCCAAGAATACTGGGGAACGTATGGCGTACTGAGGGCGGGGACGGATAATGCCCAAATGCCTGTCCATAAGCCGACTTCGCCAACATAGCTATATGCCAACAGGAAGATCAACCGAAAGAACAGTTTGAATAGTGAGGCAACGTACTTGGGATGTCGGCTTAAACTCCATAGTCCGCTATTGATGAACTTTTCGCCGTGTTGTTTGTTGTTTTTGGCTTGACGCCACTTTGTCTTTTGGTAGTCCGCCACTAGAAGGAACATAAATTCGCCATTAGATTAGGCCGTATACAATCAAAACAGAAAGCGTACTTAATTCGAAGGCCCAAGAGCCCGCAAAGAGAGCTAAAGAGGCATAATCACGGATTCGCATTGCGGGTACAGCATGCGCCGGTACAGTGTTAACCTGGATGCAGAAGAATTCAGCACGAAGAGAAGATTGTGTTAGTAATGAATCTGTTGTGAACGAACAAGATAAACAGGGAGGCCGACGGCGAATACCCATGTTGCTATGTAGTACAAAACAATTGATTAATGAGAATAGAGCATATATGCGCATACGTACCTTGCGCGATCCAAGAGAACGCAAAACGAGAAGGATTCTTCTTGATATCATCAAAGCGAGTATCGCCCCCACTCTTGAGAGCTCTCTATCGCCGTGAGATTATCGTCAGATACCATATGTACAATATCGCTGCGATACTTACCCAGAACAAGAAACTACCTAGCCTAACAGCCCAAGCACCCAACGCCGCATTTAATAAGATCTGTCGCGAAGCAAGTGCACTTAAAGGAGGCAAATTGACCGCCGAGACTCCATGCCAATAACGATCCTTGAGAAAGGGGTAGTAAAGAGAAACGAAAGCAGTCGAAAGAAACCCAAGTGAACCACAAAAGTCGAAATACTTCTCAGTACCGAGTGGGACGAAGACGAGGCCTGCAGCTGCTTGGAAGCCGTACGCGGTTGCGGCGATTGGGAGAATGCGAGAGAAGGCGACCATGTTGTGCTGGGGGAAGGAGAGAGAGATGCATGGCGGGTTTATATGGAGTGTGTGACATTTAGTCTCAGGCTATAGCTGTCGCTGATGTCAATGGCATTGCGATGGTTCCCTTCATCGTCAAGCACTGGTAGATTCCGTCGCGGTCACATGACCATATTGACGATGTGACGTCAGTGAACGTGACTCGGATTCGCAACTCGTCCAATTGTTTTACACGTTGTTTTATATTCAGATTCCTACTACTATCTGAGACAATTTCAAGTTACTATTCAGCATCAGAAAAGCACTATGTCTGCCACTGCAAATGTCATATCCATCCATCCAAATGTTCACCCAGAATCAAAGTCATGCAAAGGTGAACTCTCCTCAATCCCACATCCTCCTCCGGCCGACCAGCACGAAACACAGCACAAGAAACCGATTCCTGACACGGGTTGGAGAGGCTCGCCCGATATTCCCAGCAAAGATGGAGGACATTATGAGATTGACTTTATGCATAAACTCCCGCATGTGCCACATACGGAAGTTTAAGAGTGAGGAGGGAAAGTTTACTCTAAAGTATACATCGTAAGTCGTCGCTATGTGATCATTTGAGAGAGAAAATATAATGCAGGTGTGAATGATAATTTAAAGAATGCTGGTGTGGAAATCTATCGTTCGAATTCCACGGAGACCCTTTGGATGCAAAGCACTGTCATTGTCGTCAATGTCAACATCTCCACGGCTGGCCATTCTAATCGTATCACTCTGCTCATATTTCTTTTCAGACATCTGTGCGGTTGGTCAAGAACGTAGGCGATGCTAGTCTTCATTTCTTCAGCATCGAAACACGTTCAGGAGATCATTATGTTCCTTGTAAAGTATCCTGCAACGTCTGTCGTTCCCCTATGTTCGACGAAGGCAGAATGACCGTTTCGGCATATCCTGGTTCATTCAAATTCCAAGATCACAAAGTTCCGTTGGACTTCCAGCCGACTGCTCATATTTTTTATAGCCAGAGGTGAGGTCTGTGTGGTGTCTACGTTGGCAGTGATGATGTAACAAGGGTGTATAGGGTCATGGACGTACCGGATGGAATACCAAAATGGAGTGGGCACAAAGGTAGCAGTGAGTTGATGGAAGAGTTAGCAAATGAGCCTGGGTAGGTCATTCCTTTCGCCTGACAATCCTAGCAGTAAGCTGATTCTGAGAGCCTTATATTGCTTTTCTTTTTGATTCTCAGTACACTTCCTAAGTATAAAGGGTCGACCTATGAGTCAGAAGAGCATGCAAATGAGAAGTGAAACAAAATAGATGCTTGCCGAAACTTCATCGATGCTATGTGTCCCCACCCTGATGAAACCGGAGAAATAAAATATACCGTTGGCGAACACAACAAGCTGTCAGGCTTTTGTAAAGGAATCTGACTCTTGGGCATGGATATGGGTCACGTGGATATATTATTTGAAACCCCGGCGCGGCGCGACCACCCATAACGTTCAACAATGCGCCACAGCCTCCAACAACCTCCCAATTGTCAAATTGTCATCTGTCATCTCTGTCAGTGCGATGGCCGTCTCTGACACTAGCCTTACTTCGCTGTTGACGGCCATATGCACGCTTATCTCTGCATACAGTTTTCCTTGTCTCAGCCACTGCGACACCTTATCGGAACAAGCAAAGAGAAAAAAGCACGATCTCCTGCTAAGTAAAGTACGAATATCATCCCCTGGGTCGCTATCCTAACATCCCCTCAAATTTCCAGTTACCTTCCACCTGACGAGACTGGCGACTTTACAGTGAGCGTGAGGTGGACTTGAAGGGCGCCTTGCGTTGGATGTCCCTATGGTGGGTCGCTACCAAACGATAAAGAGTTATATACCCGTCCGAGGATTCCAGAGATGGATCAAGAAAATATGCCTTGGGATCCTCTCAAACTTGATGTATGGCAATTGGGAGAGAGTCTGTATGATTTCATGGACGACTTACAGGTTCATAGTGGCTTGAGACTGAGTTTCCTTGTTAACGGGCCAAATTATATAGTCCACCATAGAAACCATCGACAGCATCCTGGCTTCTATGCGAACTATGGATCCTCATGCACGTCTGAATGGTGAGGAAGCATTATCTATGCTTAAATCCGCGGTGTATTCCATGTCCCCCCAATCTCTATTACTTCCTCCCACAGTTCTAGTACCACTTGGCTTGGCAGGGGCGCCTGGGTAGAACATATGTATCGCACATAGAATCCGAATACTACTCTTAGTTCCAGCTATTTTTCTTCAATATCTCACTTGAACGTTTTACTTCGAATGATTGGTAGATCTGTTCGTAGAGCTACCGTTTATCAGATATTAAAAGAATGAGACATGACTGGGGTCAAATGAGTACTGCGGTAGTTGCTACTAATGAACCCATTATATTAAAATACATTGCGATATACTGTATATGACACCCAGACGAGACCATCAAAAGAAAGCAATAAGAAACAATTATTTCCTACGACCATGAATCAAACATGTTCAATAACATGTTTATCATCTGAACCATCCGCATCTGATTTCTCGTTTATCCCCTTTCGATCGAGTCCACTATGTTGTATCACGATCTCGGAATCTCCGAACACTTCGTTCATTTCTTCCAGTGTTTTACCTGTGAGATAAAAACCGGTCAGTGGAATGATGTTTTTCGAAAATTCGAGCATTCCTTGAGATTAAAATTGAACGGACGGGACGTTTGCACACACCTTTTGTCTCGGGGAAAAGGACCGCGATAATAACAAAGTCGATCGCGTTTAAAATGATGAAAATGAGATAGTATCTCCAGCTGATATTATTCATCGCCAGATTTGAAACCTGAGAGAACAAAACGTTGAATGCCCAATTGGCACATGTAGCAACGCTCGTTCCAATCGATCGCGTTCTTGTTGGGAATACCTGAAAGCGTCGAAAAGGTTAGATTGCTTCATCTCACGTCAAAGAAACCCATCCTCGACGAAGAGATACTGACCTCTGAAGCCAAAGTCCAACTAACGGGACCAAATGAAACGGAGAAGAAAATACTTGTCATGAAAATCATAGCGATTCCTGCTCTTTGAGCTGCCAAATTTGTAGATTCATCCGGTGGGAATGAGGCGACGATTGCTGTCAGAATTGAGTATGTCACTACAAAACTTCCTGCTCCGAACATCAGAGGCTTCTTTCGTCCAACCGTATCCAGGACGAGGGTGATGAAGCTGTTATAGTGGTTAATTTGTTTTGTTTTGGAGAAATTAGAGGTCGTCTTACAAGAAGTTTGTGATGGGTCCGACAGCTCCGTAGATACCCTGAACAAGAAGTGCTTGACCGTCACTCAAGCCAAGCGTTTTATACATGGTAGGTCCGAAATAGTTGATGACTAGAGATATAATTTCATGACTAAATGGGAGGTTAAAGACGCAAGATACGACATACCATTAATCCCGGAGAATTGACCAAACACCTGAACACCAACAGCTACCAAAGTTCTCTTCACCATGGCAGGTGTGGCCCATAAATCGCTCAAACTTCTCGATCTAACGTTCAATTCGGCTTTGATAGTTTCTTGCATTTGATTGAATTCT